TGGCTAAATTGACTTCTTTGATCAGAGAAAAGACAATATCTACATTTATTGCTGACTGGAAGCCCCTTATAGGATTTTTGTGTGAAACAGAAAAAAATGAAGTTATGATATATGGTTTTGATGATTAGACAGAATAGATTATAGAAAGAAGAGGGTTATAATTAACCATAGAGTAAGAGGTAAATTTATAATTGTACTTATAACTGCTGTAAAGAAGATTGGAAGCCAATTCTTTGTACAGTATCTTTTTTCTTTCTTTTCTATTTTTCTTTTACTTTTTTTTCCTTTCTTGCACTTTTAGCTTTCTCTTTGATTTCTTTCCTTTTTCTCACTTTATATTAGTTTAGCTTCTATCTTCTTTTAAAAAAATCTTTAATAAAATTATATAAAAATACTTACCAATGGCATCCAAGATCCATCCCACAGTGCCATCACCACCACAAACTAGGATACGGAAATCTGGTACATCTCGGAAAAAATTGAGGCTTGAACAAAAACACACACAAAAATTAGCTACTGATTCTGCAAAAAGACACAAAATATAGGTAAACAGAAAAATCAGACTGATGTACAGAACTTCACATTAACTCACCCAGGTCCAGGACCTCCCTTTAATAAGTTATAAACCTGTCGTGGGTTGAGGAGGTATTGAAATTTCCGCAGCACTCTGCCAACAAGATATAACCAGTCAAAAAAACTACCGCAGTGAAATCTGAACTAGAAACCCAGTTTGACAGAGAAATAAATTTTGAATCCCACAAAACAGGGATGCCAGTGACCTTTAGATCTGATCAGGAACCCCAACTCTGGGTCCCTTGGGAACCTTCCCAAACATGGAGACAAACCATGCTTGTATCTTCTGCATCAGAGATGGCCACCTTTTCAGCAATGGGTGCCAACGTTTTTTAAACAAATGATTGACTAAAAATTAAATATGTCCTATCATTGGTGAAGTTTCAGCAATCTCTCTACAGACAACCTGCAAATTTTCATGCAAAAATATTGAAATTTCACAGAATTTGACAATTTTGATTATTTTATTTTATTTTTTTTTGTATCTTCAAGTCAGTTTTTTGACTCCTGGTGACTGCCTAGACTAGTCCCTGCAGTTTTCTTGGCATGAGTTCAGAAGTGGTTTGCCATTGTCTTCTTCTTCCTTGGGCTGAGACACGACTGTGATAGTGACTGGCCCAAAGTCACCCAGCTAGCTTTGTGCCTAAGGTGGGACTAGAACTCACAGCTTCCCGGTTTCTGGTCTGGTGCCTTAACCACTACACCCAACTTTTAGACATGCATAATTTGTATTTTTTTAATTTAATTTTGGGGTTCCACCAATGATACTGGACTCATGGGCATTATATAGCCAGCCCAGGTTTTATATTATGCCCAAGAGAAACATTTGGGAATGTAAGAAAAAATGAAAAGAACTAAGAAAAGCTTAGTTCTAGCTACTGTGTTCAAAAGCAAAGTTGGCACTGATCCTAAGATGCCTAGCCTGCCCCTACTCCCACATTCACACTTCCAACCCTGTTCCATTCTCACCTCTCTCCTTGTTTTCCACCACTCTTAGGATTGACAAAGACAAGCAAGGGGTGTGTGTCAGGCAAAGGGATGATCTGTAGAAAGGGGTTAGAAACACAAACAGCCTTGGTAAATGGCCAGATCTGACTGCCCTGTACTGTGACAGTAGGATTCAGACTGGGATACAGCACAGCACACGTAGAGATAGAAAAACAGGGATAGACTGGGCTGGGTAGCCAGAAATTACATCAGTCTTAGTCATGCAGCTACATGTGCTTCCCTTTACTATAAGGCTTGTTCCCAGAGTGGTCTATGGATAGCAAAGATGCACATAACAATTCTCATTACTGCTATGAATGTATGTCAATCAGCTTTAAACAAAAAATGTGTTTTTTCTCTTCCATCCCTTAATGGCTAAAATAAAATCAATTGCGCAAACATCTAGGAACATTAACATTATTAATCCCTAGATGTGCCCACCAGAAATAGCTTTGCATTTATCTTCTGATCTGATAAATCTTTCATTGCAATGAGAAGCAGCTGCATCTGGAATGCTCTAAAATAGGTTTCCTTTCCAAATGGAAAGGCAGGATAGCTGGGATTAACAGACAGCTAGGGTGGGAGGGAAGGAAGGGTTCCAGTTCACCCCTTCCCTCTGGTCCTTTTTTTTAGATGTGTTGCTGAATCACAACTCCCAGCACTCTTCATTACTGGCCAAGGTGGCTAGGGCTGCTGGAAGTTGCAGTTGAGCAATATCAGTTCCTCCACAATTTACCACATCTAAATTTGATGTATTGGATGTCTCTTTCGTCCTCCTCTGATTCCAAGGCTGAAAAGGAGAACCTGACAGACCCCCACCCTGTAGCTGGGAGACAACAAGCAGTCAGCCATCTGTGCGTAACAACCCAGGCCCAGTACAGGTGACTGCTGTTCAGAGGCACCCGCAGGATCTGATGCTTTCATCATTTTGAAACAGCTCTCCCTGTTTTGTCTGTATGGGATGTCACAACACACATACAAAAGGGGTGGGGTTTGCAGGGTGGCAGCACAATGCTGATTTTGTCATTTGCCCCCCAGCTCTCCTTTGTGGTCCCCTATGCTGGCGATTCAGAGAGTGCCAAGCCTTCAAGGATGCTGTCAGCTAATGGAGAGCCAAGCAGTGGAAATTGACATGTCTCCTGGAGAGGAAAGGGCATCAGTTCTTCCACTTAGGCAAGGCCTTGAACCCCAGTTCATTCAGGGCATCTCCCAGCCTCCCTCCTCATGTTGGAAGCCACTCTCCCTTACCAGACCCGTGTTCCTCTGACAGGCCCTGCTTATGACCTCTGGGCTGGATATGGCCGCTACAATGGCTCAGACTACTGGACTGCAACAAGGCCTGCTCTTCTTGGCAACTGAAGCTCCAGCTATGAGTTACAGGCAAACAATACTTTCTCTGCAGGTCTTTCTCTGCCTAATTCACAGCCTGCAGCTCCTCCGTTGATTTATGACCAAACTAAAAAAAACCCAACGTTGGAAATGTGCTAATTGCCTCTGCTTGTTACCACTCACCCTAGTTTCTAACAAGTACTGATAACAATAATTTCAGCATAAAAGTGCTGATTTTCATTTTACACACAGGGGAACAGGCAGCCCCAACGATGGCCTCTCTTCCCTCCCACCCTGCTTACCCCAACCCTGAACAGCAGGGAGTGCTCAGAGAGCTCCAAGCCCTGAGAGGGATGGAGGGCTTGGCAACCAGCTCCATCCACGTAACCCCAGACTCACCCGCAAGGCCTGTCCCTCAGGAGTAGTGAATGGTTGAACTGGTTCATCTGAAGGGGTCCCGTTCTTTTGGCTGTTCTGCCGTTCCTGTGACACACAGGGGGAAAGGCAAGTGGGACACCAGAGCTGGGCAGCAGCTGGGAGAGAAAGTTTTGGGTAGGAATGCCACAGGCATGGCCTGTAAAAAACAGCTCCTGTCTTGATGGTTATGTTTGCAGGTCTCCAGAACCAAAACAGATCAGTTCCTTCCTCTTTCAAGCAGATGGTCTGCTTTGATCTGGAGGGGTTTTTTTCCCCCTTCCCAAGCACAAAGGGATTATTGCTCAAAGCTTTCTCAAAGTCTTTGCTCTTTTGAAACTGCTCAGAGGAGCAGCTTGTGCTTAGTCCCTTACCGATGCAAAGTCATCTCATTTCATCTATTCACTAGCCTGTTCTGGGGGGGAGGCATTTCATGATTGGCAACCCCCCCCCGCCAAATATTTTACACTGCTTCTCAAAATAAGAAAGGAGGTTGCGTGTACATCAGAAGTGGGGTGAGTGTGCTTCTACAGCAGATTCCCCGGATGAATATCGGAAGCTGCTTTATTCTAAGTCAAACTATTGCTCAATCTATGGCAACTTTGTACGTACTGACCGGTAGCACTTCTCCAGGAATGCCAAGAATTGAACTGGGAGCCTCCTGCATGCCTGGCATGTGCTCTGTCACTGAGCTGTGGCCCCTCCCTCTGACTCTCCTCTTGTAGATTAAATTACACTGCAAGTAGCATACGATGAAGGCAATTTGAACCTCAGAGAAACATACGTTCTTCCTCCTAAGTGCTACACGCACAGGAGGCTGCCCCCCCCCCCCCCAAAGGAATGAAACTAAAACAGTTTAAAAATAACTTTGGGCCATTCCTCCCAAAAGAGGAAATAGACCCAAACATCTCTTGCAGCAGCATCAACATGATAAATGACACACTGCACACCCTGGGTTGGTTGTTTTTTTTTTAGTTTTTTTCTTTTCCATCCACTGCTTTTTGTACCCTTTTGCTTGAAAAAAGAGTTCTGGAGAACTTGGAAATCTGCATTCCAAGCTTCTGTGGCATTTGGACTGGTCCCGATAAAGATATTGCCCAACTAAGGATTTTTTTTTCCTTTAAGAACTGGCACTGCTTACTTTCCTTTTTTTACGTGCGTGGTATGGATGTGTTTTAAATATCTATGCTACCGCCCAAGCACATGCAAAACAACATGAGAGGATCCATAACAAAATAAGCATGCTTTCCTATTTTCCCCTCTCTTCTATGTGTTGGATGAGAAACACGGTCCTTCTTGTTGTCAGTCATACTGTTCTGTTGAAGTTTAGAGTAATCTTTGCATACAGATCAGTGTTTCTCAGTCTCAGCCACTTTAAAATGTGTGACTGGCTGGGGAATTCTGGGAGCTGAAGTCCACACATCTTAAAGTGGCTGAGATTGAGAAACACTGATCTATATGCAAAGATTACTCTAAACTTTGCCTTTAAGTTTCTGCACATGACTGTCAATTACAATAACTGTCTGAAAAGACTCCTTGCTCTTACCAATACAACAGGGTAGATTGCTGAAGGAGGCAGGATATGGTCCCTGAGGATCCCGCAGTCACAGGTGGAAGGCATGAGAGGCAGGCACTCATCATGGATCTAGAAGATCAAGACACACAGCAAGTGTTTCTCAATGCCGGGTTAGGCCTCAAAACATTGAAAGTGGGCAGACACCCCACCAAAACCTTAGATACAACTTTTTCTTCCCTCTCCCAGGGAACATCAGGTTGGGTTCATTACTTATGATTTTGCCTTCTGTATCATGAAGCAAGGGGAAAAAAACCCTACTTTGAGTTGATAAAACAAGATTTTGACTTGGATATAGAAGGCTGAATTCTAAATTTTTGGAAGAAATGAATAGTAAGCTTTTTGAAGATTACATCAGATTTTACATCATATACGCCATATATGAAAATTAGGTATGCTTATATGAAAACAAATTGTACTCCTTTGCAAGAATGATGTCCTGTAAAGGCAATTTGTTAAACAAACAATGACCTTATCTATGCCTCTGCCCTTCCAACTCTATATCCATCTATATCTACGAAAGAGTCAATATTCAAAGTGATGTGAGTCTGAAACCTGAGAAGTAAACTGATAAATCCCAACTATCTCCAAAATACATTTATTTGTGTATACAGTATTTCTAAAACAGGGAAACATATATTTTTAGACATTGATGAAAATTATCTGGCCCTGGCAAAATATCCATGGGGTCATCATAATGTTGGACAGTTAATCTATTAATAGGTAGAGAGCAGATACGGTTAGGGCTTCTGCTCTACTACAACCCTCATTTAGATCCTCCTTTCCCCAAAAATGCTCCTGAGAACTCTTTCCTTTGTATTCTCCTTCCCTTTCAGTTTCATTTGAAATATATTATATAATTAGAGATGGCATAAATAGAGGCCCAAGAAAGAAATGTCTTAGTGAAATAAGCTCTGCACAATCCCATTTCAGGCTTTCTTTAAACAGAAATGGCAAATGTGGGACAACCTAACCAGAATACTGACCACAGCATAGTCCTTTTCCTCATGCTGTAATCCCAGGGAATATTGCCCCTCTCCACAGACCCCTAAATAATATTTCCCCAAATTTCCCTGCCAGGCAAATGAACTTTTCTTGTGCATGAACTACCTACAGAATAAAAACCATCTAATGAGAATCCCCTCCTGATTTTTGATGGCAGTATCCCCATTTAAAGCAAGGAGAATCATGAGTCATCAACTTGCCTTTTGATGGCACCAGACACAGTGCATGCCTGTGAGGCTCTGGAAACTCTTAATCTTCTTTTGACACTTGTCACACTTACTGCCGTCACAGCCTCCTCTTACCCAAACATGTGCTTGCACCTATAGGAGGGAAGTGAGGAATAATGAAATCTGGAGAGAAAACTAGTGGGCTGGATCAGCCCAACTGCAGCCCCCAAGCTATGGGTTCTACCTTCCTGACACTCTTCAAAAGAAGGGAGGTCTAAGAAGATAAAATGGGGACAAGGGAAGGGATGGGAACTAGAACTCCTGGGATCTTCTTGGCATTCTCTCTCACCTCTTGCAGGCAATTTAGTTAAAAGTAAGAATACTGTAAGTTTTCAAAAGCAAGGACTGAAGTTTTAATCACTCACTACTGAATGAACTAAAGTCTTCAGGATTAGATAGCAGTAGGGGTGGGCAGCTGTAACCACACATGGTTCCTCCAGCCTGTTCATTTGCTACTGAGAATCCATTGCTAATTTGAAAAATAGTAGCAAAGATACATAAGGGAGAATGGTTTCTTGTCTGCTCCCATGCCACACTTCTGGCCCTCCCATAAGTACCTAATTGGCCACTACCAGAAACAGAGTATATATTTTATTTACTTTTAAATTAAATATTAATTTAGACATTGTCTTTTTAAAAAGATGACCCCTTTTGGCTGTCACATACTTTTTTCCTGGTTTTTTTTTTAATACGTCTCTCAGCGTACAATACAAGTTGTATGGAATGTATGGAAAATACATTCATTCCTCCAAAAGACTTCTGGAGGTGATTATGACACTGATACCAAGGCCAAGGAAGGGCAGAGATAACAAATGAGTCAGGGCAAAAAGGAACAACTGCCTGGGATATAAAAAGGGTCAATTTTGATCTCACATACTGAGGAATGGAAACAGGAGAACCGCCTAGATTTCTTAGAAGAATGAAGGGATGGATTGGGAAGATGAAGGAGACAATGGAAACTGAGAAACCAGAAATCCTGGATAGTGAAGGCAGAAATACAGAAGGCTGGCTGATAGATGCAGAACCCTCCCTTGCTAGGTTACTCACGTTGGTGTCACGGCGGTTCTTGGCATAGGTGCTGATGCAGCTTGGAGGAGCCTTCCGAGCACAGCGTTCATGCACTGTGTACTTACAGACTGTTGGAAAAAAGAAGGATGGATTCAATGACATGCTAGTAGAAACTAAATAAGCACTTTTTGCCCACAAGCAGCATACAGCTTTTCTGTATTCTGTATAAAATTTCTCCATCAAGAGTTGATCTTACAAACTTAGTGTAGCATCTCCTCCCCTCCCTCCCTATAGCTTCCTCGCCCTTATTTTTTTGTTGAGTATTTTTTCAGACATAGAGATCCAGCAACCATGTTCACATGAAACAGCTGAACCACCCTGGTGCTATCCTGGAGAAAGGCCCCCATGTGCCAGCAGCAGATAAGCAGGGAAGGCCTGATTAAATGATCAGCAGCCATTTTAAAGAAATCTAGCTAGGCAAAAATCACATTAGAAAAATCTGTGGTGAGTGACCCAGTCAGGATCAGCATCATCAGACAAAATTGGAGGTGGTTGATCAAGGCACCCTGAATCCCTTTCTGCCAGGTTTATCCCCAAACATGAATGTCATGGAGAGGAAAGGCTGAAAAATAAAAGAACCAGAGGAGGAATTTCTAAAGAAGTCCTGTTTTTTGTGGGGCCACTTTGGATATTTGCCTGGAAGAGAGGGTTAACCTGTTATTAAGTCTCTCTTCTATGTTCACATGACATGTTGACCGTGGAAGATTAGCTATTGTAGGATAAAAGCAACCTTCTCTAACCCCACTCTTGGTTTAAATATTCACATGACACACTAACCTGTTTAATGACCCAGTTTAGTGTGTGATGAGAACACAGCTAAAAAGAAACTCTTGGAAAAGAGAACACGAGAATTTAGCAGAGTTTTATCTTCTTGTTTAATGTCAACATTAATTCTTAGGCTTCTGCTAAGCACAAGCAGACTGTTGTTGAAGGAATTTCACCCTTTCTAAATAACCAAGCTGCAACTGTTTTGAATTTGGAATGCTGAGAGAGATTTCTGGGTTGGCATTCTTTTCTCTCTCTCTCTGAATGTTTTATAAACACCCAGAGAAAAAAATTGCTGGCTTGTTCAGAGGCAGAGAAAGCTAATGTTATATTTCTAGGTGGCCAGATCACACAAATATTCCAAGTACTGAAGAAGAAATAATCCTTAACAAGCAGCCTTGCACTGCTGTGAGTACAGGATACACACATGTACACATATATGCAATGTCTCTAGCTATTACATATATCTAAAAAGGTATTTTTTTAAAACATGAAGAACACTAGTGAGACTTGTATATACTAGTGCTTGTTTCACAGGGAGGGAAAATCCTCAAACTGATCCAAATAGAATCCATAGCAGAATTCTTTTACATCCATTTTTTACTTAAGAATATGTAAAGACAAATGCTTGTCCTGGATAAATTAAGTTACTGCCATTATGAATGCTGTACTTGATGTCCGGTCCACGAATGTAAATTGTCAACATAATTAGTGACGAGCAGTGTTACTGTGCTCCTGCAGGTGGCAGCACGGGGCTGACCTTGCCTGGCTCAGAAGCCAAGCAGAAGAGACCTCATTAAAACTTGGATGGGAATCCATCACAGAATACCAGAATTGAAGGCTGGATTAGGAAGTCAAAAAAATATCAGAAGGTGGCAACAGCAAACAGCTTTCATTCTGTTAGTGAGAAAACTGCATGGTTCAGTTTACACAATCACCGGGAATTGAGCTTGACTTCACCGCTAATTTAAAACATGATCTCACCCATCCAAAACCTATCCAATTTTATGAACCAGGTTTGAAAGGTTTCTCCTTTCTTTTACAGGGGCAGTTAAACTGGGTAACTCAAGGGGTTGCATGCTCTTTTGTGACATTTTCATTGGTCCTCATAGAAAATGATGGCTTCTGGAAATCCTTTCTTTTTTCCTTTAAAGAAAATTTAAGTTTCTTGTCCTCGTGATTATGGAGAACTTACACAGCAAACACATGATGATGAAGGAAATTTATTCTAATCTAAATTTATTTTCCAGCTTTGCTAATATAAGAATATATAACTTTTATTGTTGTCTGGTGAGAATTCTTATGTATTTCATCCAAGGTAAAAGACAGATCATACCCAAGGTAAAAGACAAATTACAGCTAGGAATAGCAGGTTCATATAGAACTTTGTGACTAATTCAATCCAACTGCAATCTCCATCTCCAGACTGAGTCTAAACAGAAAACTTAATGGCCACAACCAATTGGCTTAATCTTTGCACTTAAAAAAAAAGAAAGAAATCTTTCTTCCACCTGTTTGCTGCATTATTTCATCTGACAAAGAGTTCTGGGCAACTCAAAGTGATGAACAGTGTTAAAGTACAAAGCAAAATCTGCATGTGATTATACAATGGTTTGTTTTGCTGTTTTTGTACTGGTTTTTTTTTGTTCAAAAATAAAATATTTGATTTGATTCTCAAGGAGAAGCTTGAAGAGGAAGTGCTTCTGCCGCGGGGGTGGAATTCCATGGAGTTTTCAAAGCAAAAATACAAGCATGTAGTTTTTGAGAATCCACATATTTGATCACCAGAAATTTCTGGGTAGTCAATTTCAGCCATAAGAGAAACCTCTAAAAGCCTCATCCTCCATTACAGTAGCGCTGGCCAAGCTGCAAGAAAGCTCTTAAGGAAAGTCCCCTTTCATTTTCTTATTAGGTTTTCCCTGGGAACTGTTTGAATTATTACAGAAACATGGAAATCTAATTTGGCAAAAGGCCATGACTGTGCTAGATTTAGATTTTAGAGAAAAACATTTTCTCCACTATAACCCCCACTTCTGAAAAATTGTAATTGAATAAAAATAAACAACTCTTTTACCTTTTTCTGGGGTTAGGTACAATTCTAAACTTAGGATTTTTTCAGTTGTGCCTAATATGTAATATATAATCCAATAAGAGAAACCTGTGAACAACATTAATCTTCACAATGAAGTTACTAGATCTGATTTTAGGTTACAGAATTCTGGATTTGGACCAGTTAACTAAGTTAACACACGACATGGGTCATAGAATCCATGGTACTGCTTCTTTGGCAGATGGCTGGTGATTTGAAATGCATGTATACATCACTCCCTATACAGGTAGGAGAGTCTACTGAGGGAAGAGGGGTCTTTTTTGGTTCTTATTACAGCTTTCAAGTGCCGATGCAAATCATTCTAGTAGCATCAGAAATCTCAGGATCCACAGGAGATCTTTATCACATTGCTCCTTTCCATGTCACTGTTGCCTCCCAGAAAAGGGCAAATGATATTAGGACAAGGAACCATGTTGTAGCAATGGCCACTGTGCAACTAAAGTCATGTTGGGAGGGGCCTTTGGACATGACATTTGTCCATACCTTGTTAGCAGAACTAAATGTCAGAAAACACAGGGAGCATTGTGCTTTTTTCTCCATTCTTCCTGGTCACATCTAAGACAATTTACCCAAATCTGGTGCAATTCCCCAACCAGCAGGACCTTCTGGGGAGACTACACCCGGATAATATGTTGAACAATATGATGCCATCCTACTCTATGAGAGATGTTAGCTGGCAGAGTGGTGAAAGAGCCACAGAAACACAGCAATTCCCAAGGAAGGACCAAGTTTCATGATACAGCACCTGCCTTGCACGCAGGAGATTCCAGTTTTTCTAAGTGTCTTCAGAGAGGGCTGGGAAAGACTCCTGTCAGACCAAGTTCAATCTGATACTGCCAGTCAGGACTGACACAACTAGGCTAGATGGATCAATGGAGTGACTTGGAACATTGCAGCTTCTCATTCGATCTACTAGGATCTCTGCTAAAGCAGTGGCTGGAGGAAACACTCTCCTCCTGCTTCCACCATCAGAGTCGTCTCAAGCCCCTTAAAGTGCTGGAAGCCTGAGCCACCAGGAAGACGGACGGACCATGGAGCCATACCCCCTCTTCCCACACAACCCCAGGAGAGAGCAACTCACTCACAAGTACAGCGCAGCCCCTGCTTGCGTAGCCCCAAGAGCAGCGTCTCACACACATTGCAGTAAACAGGACGGTTAAAGTGCTTCAGGCGCCACAGGTGCTGCCCGTCGTCTTTCATCGTCTGAAGCAATGGAGAAAGTCAGCCATTAAGGAGGAGGTTTTTGGGGTGGCTGGTTTGGGAGCCGAAGGGAAGGGGAGGTATCAAGGCTCCCTGAGGGGGAACAGAAGATTGGAGTGGAGGCAGGATTTGGGATAAAAGTTGCTTTTCCTGAGCACAAAAGTAGTATTACTTTTGGAGGATGCATGGAACGGCTTGCACCTAAATGTCCATTGTATTCAAGCTCCCCGGAAAACAGAAATTTCTGTTCGTGCCTCCTCAAAGAGCAATTAGATTGTTGTGGAGAAAAATGCAACCAAGTTCACTATGAGACCACACAGCTGTGCCCTAGGAGCAAACGAGGGCCATTTTTAACCTTTCACCTGCCATAGAACACACTTGCCCAGACCACTTTTTTTTCTGCTGCGTCCTGCCTTCATCTTGTTCCTAGCCCAAGAGCAAGGTGGCCTTAAGTCCTCTTAGTTGCCTGAGTAATGTTTTCCCCCTTAAGCCAACCCACATCCAAAGCTGCTTGAAACATTTAAAATCGGTTAGTTTCACCATTTGTTATGTCAGAGGTGAAATCAGGTGCTTAGCTGAAGGTCGTATGGCCATTTCAGGATGATGCTGGCCTTTTCCTCCAGTCCCCAGTCAGCCTTACACGCCATCATCCTGCTGCAGTTCCCAATGGAGCTGGAGACAGCAACAGAATTGCAAACAGCGCTAGACTACCAACTGAACAGTCCTCTAAGTGCTTTAACTCCCTGGCCACCACCAGTTTAGGGGAAGGCTGAAATAGCAGAACAGTGGCATGCCAGAATATCCCCTCCCCCCCAGGAGCATGGAGAAATAGGTAATATCTTGTTTGTTGTCTATAGAAAAAGGGGGGAAAGGGGAGAGAAATCCTTAGTAAAAATGCTGCTTATGACACAGTTCTCTGTGTGATTCTGAACTGTTTTTTAAAATGTTTAACTTGATTCACCCTGGGGTACAACAGAATAGGAGATAGGAGCAGGGTCACTGGAAGGAGCCTAGAGGTGAGAGACAGCCAGACCAGCATCCCTACTCTAGTGTCATGATGGGAAGACGATGGATCAGGGAAGGCAAAGAAATCAGCCAATTGCTTTCCTTATCATGTGTTGCACAAGAAAATCAAAACACCACATTCAACAGTGAGTTAGAACCAAGGCAAAAAGGCCTTTGTCCCCTGCACTTACCGCCTCCAGCCCGAGTAGCACCAGGAGGGGGACAGTGGTGGCACCACCGCGGAGCCATTCAGAGAGAGAGACAGTACCGCTGCTATCATAATCAATTTCACGCATCATCTCCTGCAGGATCTGGGTGGAGGGGAGGGGAGATCCGAAAAGGGGAGCCTTAGGAGGGAGCAATTTCCCTGCTTGTTGCATTTCATTTGTCCCAAACTGGCTTGCAACCCTCATTTTAAGAGGAGCATTTCGAGAGCATGCCTTTCTTTGTAAAAGAAGCTACAATTATCTGCAGCATAAGGCAGGCACCACTCTTTCCTCATGCACAACACTGAACTGGTTCCTCATTCCCAGGTCCTTATTCATGCAAATCTTTGAAAAACAGCTCCATTAATAAAGTGAAAAGAAACCCCAAGTTAAGATAATGCTGTATCTAAAATTAGGCACAGAACTAATCTTATGCCTTCTGAATTAGGAAAACCAGCCCTTCAACGTAAATCATTCAAAACAATAATACATAATTATCCCTCATACCCATCCAGCATCCCTCATTCTTCTGTACACATATCTAAATGGCAACAACTATTGAGCAGAAACACGGAGTAAGAGCTTATACTCTCTCAACCACTCTATCTCCTGGAAAAAAAAAAAAACCTGAAAAAAAGATCCTCCTCCAAAACCCAGAAAACTCAAAACCTCTCTCATCTCTTAACAGAAGCAGAAAAGGAAGACACCATTTTATTAGGTAAATCCCATTAACTAAATACTGATTCTATATTAAAGTGCCATATCCTGCTGTACCTCATTTAGCTCTAGGTTCCTTCTCTTCCAACTGACTCCTCATCTTTCCTCCTAAATGCACAGAGTTTGGGCTTTTTCCCTTTTGGCGCTGTTGCAAAAAGTATCATTGACAGCAACCCCAGTTCCAGAGCCCCTGACACAGACACCTTCATTCTGAAGCCAACAGAGCCCATCATGGTCATATAAGCATATATATGTCGTAAGTAGATGGGGAAGGGGTACAAGAAGCAATTGAAGGAATTCTGCACTTACTGGTTTAAGCTCAGTGACATCCCAGTCCAGATATTCAGCTACGCGCATCATCTGTGTTATGATGCGATCTACTTCCTAGAGAAGAACATAGTTTAGAACCAGTATTAAAGTGTGGTGGCTCATATGAAAGGGCCAGCATGCAAGCATTTGCCAGTCTGGCACCTCCAACCATGTTAGACTATAGTTCCCAGAATTCCTAACAACGGATATCCATGATGTTGTAGCCCAGTATATCAAGGGGAACTGTGTTGGTGAAGACTGACAGAAGGTAAATTTAGAGCTCAGATTAAAAGCAGGTGCCCCCAGTTCTTATCAGAGAGTAGAAAGGAATCAAACAAAAACAGTATGTCCTAGCCTATTGAAAATGAGATATTCTTGGCTTCCAGGAGATAAAGTGATGGGGCAAAGTATCACCTGCTGATTTCCTTCCTGCCATGCAGCTGTTTAATTAGAAGGGAACAAATTTCTTCTCCCTCCCAAAGCCTCCACAGGATGTGGTCTCCAGAGTACCTTCAGAAGTTTTACCAAAATATCCTTTATAATATGAAAGAATGGGAACCCTCATTCCTAAAACTTCTAAGAATTATTTTAACTGTATTTAATTATCTTGATTTAACCGTGATTACATTTATACTCACATTAAATCAAACCAAATTTAATTTTTGTTGTGGCCTCACCACAGCCCCTGGAGCAAGTTCACTGCACTCTGCTCAAAACCAAAAAAGATGGTACCTTTTGGTGCTAAACAAACAGGAACCAACGAAAATCAGACTGATATAAACTAGCAGGTGGGTCAGCTATATTGCAGCACAATACTTCATCCACAGCACTACTTTGGAAAGATTTGTATGGAAAGATTTGGCATCAAAATACCTTGGGCCTATTCCAGCACAAAAAGCTGGGCACTGTGTTGTGTGTGTGTGTGTGTGTGTTGTGTGGATAAACCAGTTCTTCTGCCTGAAGTGAAGTCAAAAGGGGCAGGGAGATGGGATCCAGTTCCAAAAGTCTATATAATCTTCTCATGGCCTCATGCTACTTACTGAATTGTCAAGAAGACCATTTCCATCTTTGTCATAAAGCTTGAAGGTGACTGTGGGAGGAAAAAAGGAAATCAGAAATGGAAGCTTCTAGATGAGGGATCACCAAATATATGCAACTGTGCCTTTACCCTCTTGCTCCAGGCATCTTCCCACAATGTCAACAATTCATCAAGGGTTTTTGTTTAATCTTACATGAGGAAGGCAAAGCATATTACTAAAGCAGGCTTCTTCAGTTGGAGAGCAAGATGTATTTCTTTTGCACACACCCTGCACAAATTCCCAAACAGTTTAAAAGGTCAGGTTTCAGAAAAGATTTCAAAGGACTTCTACAAATTTACTGTAGAGCATCAGAGGCATTCTTATGTTGACAAAACTGTATGGGCTTAAGAGTGATATCAGGAAAAGAATGACCGTTGTCTCACACAAATGGGAGACGAACATGATTGCCCAGAGCATACTAGAGAATGCTACCCCTCTGAATATCAAGCCAGTTAAAACCTCTTTCACAGAAAAGTGAGTAAAAATTAATCAAAATTATATGTACATATGATAATATATTTGGCAGGAGACTCTTGGAATGTTAAAGTGGTATTTATGAGAAGGAAGGAAGGAAGGAAGGAAGGAAGGAAGGCAGGCAGGCAGGCAGGCAGGCAGGCAGGCAGGCCAGAGATATGTTAATGACAGCAAGTTGATTCTCTGTCCTGAAGAAATGCCAAGATCAGATTTTCTCTGTCACAATGTGCCTCTCCTCCCCACTCATCCACCAAAAATCAAGCTAAACTGAGACCTTTGGCTGCTACTCCTGCTCTCTTGATCTTTTGCAGTACTCACATTCCAGTTTGTCTTCAGGCCTCCCGCCTTCTAGCAGTGAGAAGTAACAAGAGACGTCATTGACGCAAACGAAACCACTGGCTGAAAAGCAGAGAGTACATTGGGTTAAGATGTGTTGGTAATCCTTCATCCTAGGAACTGCAAGATATTCCAGCTGCCAAACCAAACCCTCACCAACGAGATCCTTGGCAAAGAGAGATATTGGACAAGGAGGGGACAGAAAAGATGCAAACCCACCTCCTTCCCCAAACCCTCAGAGAAAAGACAATGTTTTATGGGAGGCAGTTTGCCAGATGGGATACCTGGCTCTTTTGTCGCTTGTCCTGCTGTAGTCTGGAAAGACATGAAGAGGTGACAGCAAAGTTCATCAGAGATCTCCTCTGCTTCCAAGTAGGTTTTCAGGAAGAGCTTGAAGCCTTCAAAGTCTATTAACTGAGAACAGCATTATCAGAGGAATAAGGCAAAGCAAAAGAGAAGAATGCAAGGAATCACAACTACTGATTGTATTGCATTGCATTCTCTACTGATTGTGCCAAAAGTGGAGCTTTGAATCAGATAATAATGTGTCACTTCAGTGCTAGATATATTATTATATGCAGGGAAGGGTAAAAATTTTCTCCTTTCTCATTTTAATGGGAAGGGGGATGGCTGTTCCCCATTGCTTGGTTGCTACTGGAACTAATGAAACTGTGATTAATGGACCCAAGAAGGAATCATCATACAAGAAGAGTAATTCAAACAAGAAGAACATGTGGGGTGATGGGGGGGGGGGAGACAGATTTAGGATGAGCCATAGTGGGGCTATAGAATGTCAGAATATAGGAAGGGAGGCTAAAGTCAGTTTTTATGATATATGTCACCTTAAGTGTTCTATCTGAACAGAAAGATGGAATATAAGTAGACTAAAAAACCAGTATAATTAGCAAAAGGGATTGTGGGACAAAAACTCATTTTGGTTAAAAAGCTAGTTCATTGCAGACTAGAAGATGAGACTGCAAAACTCACAGAGCCTGGAGGGAGGTCATGAGTGGCTGCCACATAACTGAGTTCTATACTTCTGAATGTGTTCAGTTTAAATGAAGGAGTGGGAGAATATCATATCTGGGAGTAACATAAAATGTATTAAAGGATTCACCAACATCTCAGAAGGCAGGAATAAATCCTCAAATAACTGACAGAATGGAAAACAAAAAACAAAGGCCAAGTTCTTCATAGATGGGTGGGGGGAGTACACTAGGGTGAACAGTAGAAAAGAAATTTAGTTAATGAAACAAAAGAAGACCCAGGAGTGCAACCAAGCTGAAGTATTAGTAGTAATAATAACAATAATACTTCAAACTGTACTTAAAGTTATGCTTTCAGTTCTGGGCAAGAAACATTTTGAGAAGGATGTGGACTGGAGCTAGACAATGCAGTACTTTCCAAATGTTTTGGCCTACAACAACTTCTTGCTATTGGTCATGCATGCTAGAGCTGAGTCCAAAACATCTGAAGGTCACCATGTTGCCTACCACTGATAAGACACAATGAGATTGGTTCAGAGGATGGCAACAAAGGCCCTTGGGAATACAGAAAATAAGTCTTAGGAAAAAAGATGAAAGGAAATGGGTATTTGTAGCCTGGTGAAGAGAAGACCAATAGAGGGAATCTGAGAGCCCCTCAGGTAGTCTTGGAAAGAGTTATCACACAAGAGTGGACAAAGGGTTGTTCTCTGCCTCTTCAGGAAGTAGAGCTAGAACTAGATTACAAAATGGTAGGTGTTATATAAACATTAGGAGAAATGTTTTAATCACACGAAAGTTTGACAACTGAACCAATTCCTTGGGGGGGGTCCTCTCTGCTGGAAGTCTTCAATCAGAATCTGACTGATATCTTCTAGCTCTAGCACTGGATTTCCTGTCCTGAATTGGGCATTGGACTACAATGCCTACAAAGCCCTCTCTATAATTCTATGGCTCTGTTTGCATAGCACAGCTGACCCATACTAGCATCTCACTTTCATATGTCAACCATCTGAAATAGCTGGGTCAGACAGCAACCATATTTTTAGTCTCCCTCTCCCACTAACTGCTACAAAGAAGGCTGGAATGCAGTCACTTCCCTAACCACTTCCTGCATTTTTTTATTTTCCTCCAGGAGGGAGATAGGCATGGGCAATATGGGCATTGTGCTACCTTGGATAGGCTTCAGAGAGCCACATTCTACCTCACTTGTTTCTGCTCCTTTTTCTCATGCACAACACCAGTGTGACCAAAAAGTAGTTGAAACCAAAACAGCCACACAGATGAACCATTTCCCTAAATGCAGTTCCATTTTCATGGGGCCTCTCTAGGACTTTATCTTGATCATAGATACTGGGAGAGATCATTAACCTTTACAAAGTATGGTTATGACATGGCAGAGGAGTTGATGGAAGAGTGGTTTAGTTGAAAACAAGATCAGGTCTCTCTGGAGCTAAATCTAACCCACTCTGGGTCAAACAGCTGGGTTTCAGAGTTTATATGACACTTTTACTGCCCTCCATGACATCCCATGATGCAGTTAAGCACCATGGAAACACAGGTTCTATGCGTGAAAGACAGAAGACACCCAAAGTAGTACACAGGTTTTGGAAAGATGTCATATTGATCTGCAAGGCCACCTTGGCTGTAAACACTTAGGGCAAATATACAATCTAGCAAGGCAACAGATGAAGATGTTTGTGGGAGAAGAAGAGGAGGATACTCACATCCCCTTGCAGATGTTGGGACAATGTACCCTCTCCATAAAATTCCTTCAGCACATCCTGCACTTTCTTGCTGCTGTCTGTAGAGCAAAGAAAAATGAAGATTGAGAAGGGGGGGGGGAAGTGTAGGAACTGATACAGTACATGCCATAACCAGGAGATGTGCCAGGCAGAACACATGAATTGGCCAAGAATCAGAACTCTGTGAATTCTATCCTAAGTTTCAAAGTGGTATAAGTATCAGCAGGCTGCAGTGAGATGTCCAATCCAGCTGATACAATTTCAGAACATTCTGAACATGGGCATTAAAACGTTGGGCATCTAACTTTGTAGGATGGGTGGCCCAAGAATTTTAATTCAAGATAAGCCAAAGGCTAAAGATTATGCCTGTCAGATTCCTCACAAACTAGACTATCCCTTCCTCTATATTTGTCTGTGGATACTCGATTGTGGTTTCTGCATAGCACATGAGATATCAAGCTAATACTACTGAGTTTGGGGGGGGGTAGAGTGGAGTGGAGGGAGGGAACAGATGGACATGGAGTAGCATGAAAGAATTATCCTATGAGCCTTGCTTGGACCAGCACAGAAATGGCTGCTCCTCCTTTCTCAATAACTCAAGTAAACCAGATTCAAGTTCTAAGGAGTTGGTATGACCTCTGATTTTAGAGAGGGAGTTCTAGTTCTAATGGTCCTGCCTGCCCATAGGGATCACTGGCCTCTATTCCTATCAAGGGGTGGGGGGCAGCCTACTGGTATGAGAGGAGAAGGAAAAGGACTCACAGTCAATATACTTCTGCAGCTGGGTGAACTCCTCCGGGCTGAGGGTGGCCCACTCCTTGCTGTCAGACATGATGCTGCTCTTGCTCCACTTTACGCCTGCAAATAGAAGAGTCAGGAGATGTCGTTAGACAGCAGGGGATGAAGATGAAATGGGCAGAGAAGGCGCTTTGGGCACAATCTCTCTCTCCCCCTCTCTGGTCTCCTCACATTCTCCGGACTGATCCGCTGAGCCGGCACATTCTTCCCTGGCATGATTGGTTTCCAGAGCAGCAACCGGGAATTTTGCCACAGCACATGCAGCCACTGGAGAGGCAAGATTCCAGTTGCACAGGCTCAGAAAGAGAGACGTACCACTGGCAGATTTAACTCCTGGAGGAAGACAGATATATACCCAAACGGCTTTGCTCCTGATGCAGGTGGAATCCCGACTGAAGCTGAGCAAAAGAAGCCGGCGGTGGGGCATCGCCAAAAGGAGGAAACATGTTGCACAGCAGTTTTTTAATCTGGACAAGCTCACGCATTCAGCCTGTTAAAGGGACAGTCCCCAATTACCTGCGTAGGTGGGTGAGCAGCTGGCAGAGCAATTGTGGCACCTCTTGCCCCAAGGCAAGCCCATTTCCAGAGACCCCGACAGGGTTAGGAAAGATGGAGAGATCCAGAGGCAAGGCAGTAGATGGACAACAAGATCACCCAAGTAGAAGGTTGAAGGAAAAGCAGTTTGGGGGGAAAAATCAATTTAGCAATTTATACCATTCTGCTGCAGATGGTGCCAAACTTAATCCCATTAAAATTTAATGGAGGTTTTGAGTGTTATTGGCGGAAATGCCACACATTTTACAGAGATACAATCCTGGCAGTGAGTGCAAGGGAGATGAGCAGGAAGCTGGCGGGGGGGTACTTTTTTGGCAGCTCACTTAAAGAAGAAAAGTTCTGGAAACTGAGTAGAACTAAGAACATGTCATAATCTGGAATCCCCAATCTGATACCAGAAACAAAAACCATTCATCCCATCCCATATTACTTAAAGAAGGTCTGGGTCAAGAGATCAGTCTGAGATGTCATAGGCACTCGTGAATTTCAGGGGAGAAAGCTTCCCAGAGTGTAGGTGCTACCACAAGAAAAAGCCTATCTGCAAGCGACTCCAAGGTGACAATCTCTAGATCTAGGCAGATGCAGTAGAATCTCCCCAACAATTTCAGCAATCAATAAGATCTTTAATGGTAAAGATGGAGATGGCTTATCAAGTATCCTTAGATGCCATAAACAAAATCTTGAACTTGGCTCACCAGCTAATTGGTAGCCAGTGCGGTTGCTTCAGCACATGCGCAATATGTATACATCAAGTGCCCTGCTCAGCAACCTGGCCACTGCATTTTTCCCCAGCTGCAATTTCCAGACCAAGTACAAGGGAAGCCCCAAACAGAGTGCATTACCGTAATTGAAGTCTAAAGTGATCAATGCATGAACACTGCTAGACTATTCAAGAAAGGTCACAGTTGATATACAAGCTGAAGCTGGCAATAGGCACTCCTGGCCACAGAATTCACTTAGGATTCCAGTGACAAGCAGGAGGTCTAAGAACAGCCACAGGGCTCTTTAGACATTCAGATTCAAAGTGGGGAAGATGTTTTGGAACACCCACGGGTAGCATCAGCCCAGGGTCCAGAGCACAGTCACCGTACTACTCTCTGAGGCTGCTCTTGAAAGTAGAAGCAAAGTGTGGACACAGATCTGAGCCCACAGCTTATGAAGATAGTCCAGAGAGAGACTGCGTCAGTGATATCAAAAGCTATAACATCAAGCAAAATCAAAGGAGTCATACTCCCTTTGCCTTTTTTTAACATTTATCAAGCTGATAGTTTCCAAAATGAAGCCAGAACCCAGGTTGAAAAAGATCAAGATAGCTGTGTATACTCAAGAACTGGCAACTGTATAGAAGCAACTTACCCAAACAAGCCCACTGCCCTCTGAAGCAACTTATCCAAACAAGCAATATTTATAATACAGTAAGGCAATATTTGATCAAATCTTCTGAATCTAGAGAGAGCTTCTTCAAGACTGGACAGACCATTGCCTCTTGAAATGCTGGAGGTACCACTTCCTCCACTCACTACTTTCTGGATCCACCTAGACAACCTCCCTCAACTAGTATGAATAAGTCAAGATCAGCAGGAGTTAAAGGAGCATGCGGTAGGCCAGAGAACTAAAACCATCTTGTCCATGACCTGAGGCTTCATAAACTGAAAGTGATCCCACACAATTAGACCAAATGGTATACTGCGCATTGTGACCTGTATTAAAAGCATCCTTTAAGTTGGCATAAAAATGCTTCACAAATCTGTCACGTCAATACTTTGAGAGCTGCAACACTGGGCTTTCTAGAGCAGGTAACAATAAGTCCTTGGCCACCCTACAGAATCTTACTGGACGGCTAGTTGAGGATGCAACGGCGGCTATGAAGTAAGCCTTCTCTGCAGTCTTTAGTGTCATGCAATAGGCACTGCAGTAACATCCAGCTGGCTTCAATGTGCAATTATTCATTCAATCTTATACCACTCTGCTCAAGCTGCCTCCTGGCCTGCTTCATTCCCCTGGAGCTCTCTCCAGGGTAACCAGGAAAAATCCAGGTCTGCAGCCCTGAAGCAGGCACTTGGGGGGATTGTTTCAGGGGTCCATTCTGTTTCCCTATTCCATAGGTCAATAAGGGCTTAACAAGATTACCTACTGTAGTTTCTGGACAATTCCCCACAATGCCCAAGATTCCCCATCAGATTCCATACATCTTGGGGGGCTTACAATCCTAGTGAACCACACCCATACAGGGCCAGGCTTTCATACCCTCACAGTTTCCCCAAAGTGCCATTAGTGTCAGGGCTTTCTCTTTTTTTCTACTTTCCAGCCATTGTAACCTTTTCCAGCTGTCTCTCCTATGAGCCAAATTAGTCCTTTTTAAGTTATTTCCTGCTCTGCCATGCCCTTTGTAAAGTTTAAGACACTGTTTGGGCCATTTCACTTTACATAGTTAGAAAAAGGGGAAATAAATGAAAGATGCTATATTCCAAGACCATCAACAATTATGCTATTTTAACTAGGCAAATTAAGGAACTCCATTCAAATTTGTGTTAGTAATAATAAACAGTAATAAATGCACCATCTATGAACCCAGATGGCACTTTAACCATTATGAGACAGCATTCAGCAGTTCACTGCAGCTAGCTGCTGGCTGAGTATGTGTGTAAAACATAAGCTGAGAGGCAAGGGGCACAATGAACATCCAACCTCCTCAGTTGGGAAAGTAAAGACCAGAAGATTCACATGGGAATGGATTTCCCAGTAAGAGATGCAAAGAGGAAATGAAGCTGGTTTCCTGAAGAGCATTTTGCCCCTTACAACTTGCCTATGCTATCTTGTAATTGAGGGAGGGGAGAGGGGAAGTCCAATAGCAAATATATGAAAAACTCCCTATGCATTAGGACCTGATTGGCACATATCCTGCAAATCCACACTGACTGGCAGAGACCAAGCCTTTTTTCCTCACATCCATCTAGAGCGGTGTTTCTCAACCTTGGCAACTTTAAGATGGGTCGACTTCAACTCCCAGAATTCTCCAGCCAGCCATCTTAAAGTTGCCAAGGTTGAGAAACACTGCTCTAGGGATTGCTAAGGACTTTTCCTTGTATACCTATGCACGTGGCAAGTCCTGTACCACTGAGCTACAACATTTCCACAAATACATAAAGGAAGTATTTCTGGGGTCCAAGGTAAGAAGGAACAGGGGGACCTAGAATGAGCCCTAAAAGTTGTGAGTCAAAGTTATAGCTACTACAATATGCCATGCCTCAGTTTCCCTAGGTCATGATCCAAGCCCCTCCCCCTAAAAGTAGAGTCAGCATCTTCTTGGGTCAGATTTTTCCATTTCACTCCCAGGTTTGATCCAGCTGCTATTCATCATGCTTCAGGCAGGAACCTCCCAGAAGTATCATTAATTCATGCTCTGACACACCCAGCCCTTATTTTGCTGAGCTAAAAAGGAATACCAAGCGCTCCATGTTCTCCACTGGGTGTGCAGAAGAGGGCCCTGTGCTCAAACCCATTAGCGCTAATAGGACTGATTGCAATTAGCAGCATTTAACAGAATGGAAGAGGAAGGGCCCTCTCCAGCCCTAATAGCCACTTTATTGCCCATATGGATTTCCCCGTCCCTCTTTTTAACTCTAGCACTGCAGGTGTGCATGCTCTTGCTGTTAATTTTTTCTTCACAGTTTTCCCTCATCCTTTCCCACATTCCCCTTCCCTTGTTGTCTCTTTAGCCACACACCTTGTTCCTGATATTCATCAATATGGGGGGCGGGGGGCGGGGGGGGGGAGAGAAAAGAAAAACCAAACAACCCTGACCCACAGTGGGCCTGCCAACTTTAGCAACAATTTGCAGCCCTTCACTACCTCTTGGCTCCCCTTTCCCAGAAAGATGAAATACTAAGGCAGATGTTGAGATTAAATTTCCCTCATGGGAAAGAGCACAGAAGATCTATGGTAACCTTGTTACAAAACTCTCCTTCCCAAACAGACTGGGTAGCTGTAGCACAAAAGGCCCAACCAATATCTTCTCCAAAAGCAACAACCGGGGTGCTCTTTTTCTAGCCTCAGTGCTAAGAAGAGGCCACATTTTTTATTTTTAGGAACTCTAGGTTTACCACGCAGATTGTAACAATGCCATCCATCAAGTAATGGCCACCTAATCTTTAAGTATGTTAATTCATCTAGAACAATAAATGGGATAGTTCCCCTCTAGTCCCAGAGTATTAAACAAACAAACAAACAAAAATGATGCTTCCAGATGAAATTTTCATTGTGCAACTGTTCTGTCTCAACCCAGAATCTTTATAAAGGGTCAAGATAACAATTCTTCTATTCATATCCCTCTCATGAATGAATTCTTTATTATGGCTAAAGGCCACTTAAAACACCCTACAAGCCCAAAGAAATGGGTGATCAGCTTTGATTATGAATGCTTGCTATTTGTAACTGCCCTCCAAAGGCCACTGCACCAAATTTTGCTACCTGATAGGTCAGTGTTTCTTAACCTCATAACTTTA